TTAAATTAAAACCATCCATGTATATAGATGTTATATACTTGCAAATGAATGTTTCTTTTGCTAAATTTGGACCTTGAACTCTAAGTGAGACCTTAATCTTTGCCAAAGACACCCCGGAGATTTTGGCGCAACACTTCCCTAACTCTGAGAATATTGCGTTGCAAGTTATATTAAAATCACTCATGCATGTAAGAAGTTAAGCTCCGGACACGGATTTCGCTGAAAGGCCCTCAAGCTTGGGACATTGACCTTTGAGTGGTGGACCTGGCCTTTGCGTGCTACACACCACCCATGCGTTAACTTTTGCTACAAACTTATTTTTGTAATTCTTCATTAATGAAGCAACATATAGACTGGACAAATCCGAACAGATTGCCACATACACCAAATCTCTACGCCAAAAGTGACTACTATATATACGTCGACATCACACAAGTTGGCTCTACAAAAATGTAAAGTTTTAAACTTTCATTAGCATATAATTAACATTAAATTAAATTTAGTAAGAGAACGCTTGGGCTAACAGTCTGAAGATTTAGTGCATAGGTTGTTCATCACTAATAGACGATCTCTACTGATTTTGAGGTTAAAATACAAGGTTACATGGCCTTGACCACAAGAAGCTTGTCTGACCAGTAACAACAAGAACAATTTGGCCAACAGTCCCAAGATATGGTGTGGAAGTTGGGCATGAATAGATGACCGTTATTGAATGAGGTCAAAGGCATGGTCACCATTTCAGTGACCACCTAAACTGTTGAAAGAATACTTTGGGCTACAGTCCTTAGCATTGGTGGGTAGAGTGGTAATGCCAAGATGAATCTTAGTGATTCTGAGGTAAGAGGACAAGGTCACCATGGCTGTAAACAGACCAATATTAAACTTGAGAATTCTTCAGCCTGAAATATAAAGATCTGGTTTAGTTCAGATGATCCTATTTATAATTGAGCCGTGTCACGACAAAACCAACATAATGGCTTTGCGACCAGCATGGATCCAGACCAGCCTGCGCATCCGGGATCAGGATCCATGCTGTTCGCTATCAGTTTCTCTACTTGTTATAGAGTTTGTAAGCGAACAGCATGGATCCTGATCGCAAAGCCATTATGTTGGTTTTGTCGTGACACGGCTCAATTAATTTTGAGGACAGTAGGTTAAGGTCGTCATGGCTTTTACCACTCAAAGCTTGTCTGACCAATAACCTAATAAGTCTTTGGCCTACAGTCCTAAAATTGGTGTAAAGGTTGGTAATAACTGTTGATTTTGAAATTATAATTTCAAAAATGTTTAAATGGCCAATAAGCTAATTACTGATGAACAACAATTTGAAAAAAATAAAATTTATTCAAGCCGCAAGCAACAAAACAATGAAAATAATATTAACTTTTCAATTACAAATTCTCTTTTAAAGTCTTCCATTTTCTCTAAGTACATTGTAATTGTTCAGTAGTCTCATTAGAGAATATATTGTCAATACTATTGTAAGATAGCTGCCAAACATCGTAAGATGATAACTCACGGTGCCTAATCGTTTCCGGCTGATTTGGAATATTTCCCCGTTCCTGAACTGATTTGGATTTTTTTCACCGGATTGATTCAGATAAATTGGATTTTGAGCTTGACAAGGTTAGAAAATATATAAAACAAGAGCCATGTCAACATGGCCATCCCCCGCCGAATGTGTTTGCTCATTGGAAGAATGTATATGTAGTAGAGCAGAATAATTCCATTTTAAGAGGTCTTTTGGTACTGAAAACTGATGGCTATAGTGATTACAGATTTGAAAATGTGAATACTGATGGCTGAAAATAACAAAGGGCAATAACTGAAAAATAATGCAGGGTAGGTTATCATTCTTGTGTGCTGCATCCCTCCTCAGTAAAATCTATCCACCTATGAAGTTTTCAAGTTGATACCTCAAATACTTTTTGAGAAAAAAATTGAATTGAAAAATTAAGTATGAAAAATAACAAAGGGCAATAACTCAAAAATTATAAAAGGTAGAGTTATCATTCTTGTGCACTGCACACCTCTTGAGTGAGATCTATGCACCTATGAAGTTTCATAATGATATCTCAAAGGCCTTTTGAGTTAATGCTCTGGACAAAAATTAATTTTTTGAAAAATAAAAAATGGGCAATAACTAAACAATTATGCAGGGTAGAGTTATCGTTCTTGTGCACTGCACTCTTCCTCAATGAGATTCATCCACCTATGAAGTTTCAAGTTGATACCTCAAATACTTTTTGAGATAAGCTCCAGACAAAATAGTATGAAAAAGAACAAAGGGCAATAACTCAAAAATTGTACAGGGAAGAGTTATCATTCTTGTGCACAGCATTCCTCCTCAATAAAATCTATCCATGTCATGTCATGTTGACATCTCAAACACTTTTGAGTTATGCTCCACTCGGGTGAAAAATTAGGTTTGCAAAAAAACAAAGGGCAATAACTCAAAAATTATGAAAGGTAGAGTTATCATTCTTGTGCACTGCACACCTCCTGAGTGAGATCTATGCACCTATGAAGTTTCATTTTGATATCTCAAAGGCTTTTTGAGTTATGCTCTGGACAAAAATTAATTTTGAAAAATAACAAAGGGCAATAACTCAAAAATAATGCAGGGTAGATTTATCATTCTTGTGCAATGCACTCCTCCTCAATGAGATCCATCCACCTATAAAGTTTCAATTTGATACCTCAAATACTTTTTGAGATAAGCTCTGGACAAAATAGCATGAAAAAGAACAAAGGGCAATAACTCAAAAATTGTATAGGGAAGAGTTATCATTCTTGCGCACAACATTCCTCCTCAATAAGATCTATCCAACTATGACATTTCATGTTGATATCTCAAAAACTTTTTGAGTTTTGCTCCACTCAGGTGAAAAATTAAGTATGAACTAGAAATGTGTCATCATGCCACGGATGCCCCCGCATGCAGCCAAAATTTCAAATGTTATAATATTTAGTTCCAAATTTGTTTGCACAAATTATTTTATTCTAAGTTCAAAGCCCTTAAAACTTTTCAATGTTAACACAAACCATTTTTATACAATGTTCAAGGCACTGAAATTATTCAGTCTTAACCATTTTTATACAATGTTCATGGCACTGAAATTATTCAGTCTTAACCTTTTAAAAATAGCATATTGCATATTTGTAGCCAACATAATGGCTATATACATTTCCACAAAAGTATGAGTGCTGAAACTGAAAGTTCAAAATTTTTCCAACATTCAGGAAAGATAAGTTTGTCTAAAATCATTGAACCACGACCAAATTCAAACTTAAACTGCTTATTCCTAAGATGTATCTATATTATTTTCAAAGTGAAAGGGACATAACTCTGCCAAAAAATCATCGAACCATGACCAAATTCCCAACTTGACCTGCGCATTCCTTTGACATATCCATATGTCAATTTTGAGTTGAATATGTAACACTGTTGGGTTGATAATGAACAGAAACTGTAAATTTCATATCATTTTCAAAGTGAAAGGGGCATTACTCTGCCAAAAATCATTGAACCATGACCAGATTCGAACTTGGTCTGCGCATTCCAAAAACATATCCATATGTCAAATTTGAGTTGAATGTGTAATAATTGTTGGGGAGATAATAAACGGAAACTGAAAAATTTCATATTATTTTTAAAGTGAAAGGGGCATAACTCTGCCAAAAATCATCGAACCATGACCAAATTTGAAATTGACCTGCGCATTCCTTTGACATATCAATATGTCAAATTTGAGTTGAATGTTTAATACTGTTGGGGAGATAATAAACAGAAACTGAAAATTTGATATTATTTTCAAAGTAAAAGGGGCACAACTCTGCCAAAAATCATTGAACCATGACCAAATTTGAACTTGACCTGCGCATTCCTTTGACGTATCCATATGTCAAGTTTGAGCTAAATGTGTTGTACGATTGGGGAGATAATGAACGGAAACTGAAAATTTCATATTATTTTCAAAGTGAAAGGGGCATAACTCTGCCAAAAATCATTGAACCATGACCAAATTTGAACTTGACCTGCGCATTCCTTTGACGTATCCATATGTCAAGTTTGAGTTGAATGTGTTGTACCATTGGGGAGTTAATGAATGGAAACTGAAAATTTCATATTATTTTCAAAGTAAAAGGGGCATAACTCTGCCAAAAATCATCCAATCATGACCAAATTTGAACTTGACCTGTATTTTCTCATGACATATCGATATGTCAAGTTTGAGTTGAATGTGTTGTACCGTTGGGGAGATAATGAACGGAAACTGAAAATTTCATATTATTTTCAAAGTAAAAGGGGCATAACTCTGCCAAAAATCATCAAACCATGACCAATTTCGAACTTGACCTGTATTTTCTCATGACATATCCATATGTCAATTTTGAATTGAATGTTTTGAACCGTTTGGGAGATAATGAACGGAAACTGAAAATTTCATATTATTTTCAATGTAAAAGGGGCATAACTCTGCCAAAAATCATCGAACCATGACCAATTTCGAACTTGACCTGTATTTTCTCATGACATATCCATATGTCAAATTTGAGTTCAATATGTGCAAGGGTTATTAAGATAATGAACGGAAACTGATGATGACGGAATGACGGAACAGGGTAACACTATATGCCCCTGCCATTATATGGCGGGGGCATAAAAATAACAAAGGGCAATAACTCAAAAATTATGAAAGGTAGAGTTATCATTCTTGTGCACTGCGCACCTCCTGAGTGAGATATATGCACCTATGAAGTTTCATGTTGATATCTCATAGGCTTTTGAGTTATGCTCTGGACAAAAATCAATTTTGAAAAATAACAAAGGGCAATAACTCAAAAATTATGCAGGGTAGAGTTATCATTCTTGTGCACTGCACTCAACCTCAATAAGGTCTATCCACCTATGAAGTTTCAAGTTGATAACTCAAATACTTTTAGAGATATGCTCCGGACAAAAATGTCGGACGGACGGAAGGTCGGACGGAGACTAAACCGAAAAGGCGGCGGGGGATAATAAACATATTTACAACTGTTAGTCTTTTAAATATTCTACTTGCACGGAACATTGCAATGTTTAAGGAATTCATATACAACTATAATTATAAGGTATGTTAACGGTCTTTTATCAGTTGGAATCTAAAAACAAATTTCGCCTGTCAGCGAAGTAGTATTAAACACTAGCATAAGATTGCCAAAAAAGTCATTATTGTCTTCATTTTTTAAGGTATTCCATGATCATATTATAGAAAAAATCATTCCGAAATAATTTAGTGGTTTTAATATGATTTGTCCGGTAATGAATTGTAGGACGTAAGCCTACAATCAGTCCTTTGCCCTGTTTTTCCTTAATATGAATCAATCCTGTGGCCTAAAAAATTTACAAGGTTGTCATAAAAGTAAATCCTACAAATTCATTAACCTGTGAAAAAAATCCAAATCAGTTCAGGAACGGGGAGATATTCCAAATCAGCCCGAAACGATTACGCACCATGTAACTGGAAGGTATCTGCTGCTATGCTGTACTCTTCAGTAATGGAGGTAGAAAACACACCTTTATCATCTGTCTGAAATAAATGTGTAAAAACAACTAAACTGCTATTCTTTACACATATGCATTTATACTTAACAAAATATATGTTGGTGGGTTTGGCACCCAACTGTGGCGTGCTCATTTTTCGTGTGATTTTTCTGCTTGTAGGTGAACAAGGTTGTATAACAAGGTGTAATTTTCACATGTATAACAGTAATACTTACATGCATGTTACAAAAACATTTACACCTGTTATAATGATACAAATATGTTAAAAGTTACACATATTTCACATACATATTTTACAAAATTACTTACACATATAATACATGGATGTTCCAAATCATACAAGAATTTAAAGTGATGGTTATCATACCCTGGTACTGTCATATCATATTTATGATGTCTCATGATAAACATAACTCTGAAATAAAAAGGTCTTATCATTAAAATAAACTTAACTAAGAATGAAAATCAATCTTCAAAAACAACCTTTCTTTAGACTTCTAGATTTGTTCTTATTAAATGAAGCTGCAAAACATTTTAATTTTGTCATCTACTTGATTAAAAGGAGGGCTGACCCTTCAAGTACAGGTCCCTAACAATCCACAAATCATCCATTCAAGTGAATCTAGTTGTCATTAGTTTTTATAATACTGCATGTTTATAAATAAGTTGCTTTTTGTAGGATCATCATGATGTTGATATAACTAACCTATATAAACAGCTGTTGTTAAGTTACAAAGAAATTTCATTTTTATCTCTACAAATGAACATTGCAGTATTACAAATTCTTCATAAAGGTTCTTGACAGGACTTTTGGCCAAATATAAACAATAATTTACAATATAACCCAAGCCACTGTTATATTGTGTAAGTACAATAGCTCTCCCCTATTTTCTTTGAATAGTCGAGCCAAAATCCATTTATAACAAAATTTTACGAGCAGCATTTTTTAATGTGGTTTTCAAACATTTCTAACAGACATTGTCATATCTACAGATCTCTCAGATCACTGAATCATTACTTAATGGAATTCTAATTCATTACCTAATGGAATTTTAATTCATTACCTAATGGAATTCTATGACTTTCAACAAACTCTACAATATCTTTCGTCCCACCAGCATCAGGCTGTAAACATGTTCCATGTCTTATTCTATCTGATATAATTTCTTTTAACAAAGTAATAGTTTCTTCTGGTGCTGGAACCTAAAAATTCAAAATAAGTAACATTTAATTCAGTAGAGTAGTTAAAACATAAACTGTATTATTTAAGCTTGATTGCAAAACAAGTTCTAGCAAATTATATTAACCACTTTTGAGTCTGCTTTCTGGAACTACATAAGAAGTACTGGTGTCATATGAGGAAACAAGAGTGTGACCCAAGTAGGCTTGAACCCAAGTTCCATAGTCCGAGAGGCAGCCATCTTAATCATTCGGCAACCACCCCCTTTTATTACATTTCATGAATGTATCAAAAAATAGCTGCTCTTTCCATGTACTAGTAGTATTGTACAAAGTGCTTTGATTATCATAAGTTCTTTATACTGCTGTTAAGTCAACTATTATAACAATAATATGTATTCATTACCCCAATTAATAAAACAAATTCTACAAAAAACACATTTTGTATCTATCAAAATCATCTTTCACTTTCACTACAGCTAAAACAAAAGTGATGACAGTAACCGTGCTTCAATGTACAATTTTGTCACACATAAGTAAGAAACATTGCTAGACTGAAAGGGAATGCAGAAGAATCTATTTTAAGCCTGTATCAGTTAATATTTTTGACTGAAGCATCCCAGAGGCAGAGCTGTAGAGACAATTAACCAATATTTTAGGCAGAACATAAGTCTCTTTTTTACTCTCATTCACTATAGATAAGTACGGACTGACAAGAATCATGAATAATTAATTGATAAATTGACAATAACATTTATGTGACATCTTTTTTCCATTTACTTCAAGTAAATATCCTTCACATTCCATTCAACTACTGGTAACTTATTATTCCTAGAAGATTTTACTATACAATTGGCCAAATTTTAGGACAACCAACAGAATCAGTGGTAAAATTGGCCTAACTGACAATTAACATTTAAATTAAGATAATTTGATTTTAACCCTTTACCACATATATACGCGAAACAACGCACTTTCGACACCCCCCCCCCTTTTTTTAGGCCTCAGATAGTGAAAAAATGTCCTATTTGGGCCCCAAACATAAGTTTTCGTTTGAGAAATGTTGCTAAAAAAATGAGCTCTTTTTCGGCGCCGCCCCCCATCCAAACGATACATCAGGGGGTTGCCAGAAGGGGGATGTGCCCCCTTTTGTTAGGGGGGTTTGAAGGGGGGTGGAGTGCCCCTCATTGCCAAGAAAATTTTGGACTTGTGAGAGGCTAAAAATGACCCCAGGTCGATCATAATGTAACGTTTAACCAACGCTGAAAAGCCTTTGACTCTATCTCAATCCCTTGAGCAGTTGCAGCACTTTGAAATAAATTTTGATGGAAAAAATCGAGGCAAAATAGTGATTTTTGGCAATTTTGAGATGTCCCCTCGTTGCCATGGTAACAGGAAATTTAAGACTGAGCATGTCGTTACAAAGGCAATGGTCCAGTCAACATTTGTGCCAAGTTTGATTAGTATTGAAGCATTTTTCATAGTTTCATAGCAGTTTGAACTTGTAACAGGAGGCTTTTCAGTGAAAACGGCCAATTTTCACAATATGCTCATGGGGGAAAGGGTTAAATCAATCAAATAGAAACCCATGATTCACCTTAAGCAAGATGAAGTGCTAACTTTAAACCATGTTTCTGTGCCTCCTTAAATGCTGGAATGAAAATATCTGTATTACCAACCTGAAAAGAGAATGTAAATGAGTACCTGCAAGAATGAAGAAACCACTTCAAACCACTTGCCCCTCCCCGCTGTGGGTTCGAATCTCAACAGGGACTTTGAATTCTTTCATGTAAGGAAGCTATCCAGCTAGCTTACGGAACGTTGGTGGTTCTACTCAGGTGCCCGTTTGTGCCTGAAATAATGCTTGGACGGGCACCTGAGGTTTTCCTCCACCTGTGAGTAAAGCTGGAACGTCGCCATATGACCTTTAATTGTGTCTGTGTGACCTTAAACCCAATCAAACAAACCAATTAAGCCTTGGTATATTATACTTTACACAAAATTCATAAACTTATGTATTTTTAAATACATGTATATGTAATTATAAGTACATGTATGTTAGCTATTACATTAATCTTTCATCTACAGAATTTCCCAAATGTATTGGTCAAACTTCCATTTTAAAACAGTCTATTGTCAACTTTTTGGAAAAACCAAGATAATTGTTAGGAAAATGGTCAAACAAATAGTATAGAGTTTGGTTTCAGTTCAAGAATGTGTAGTATGGTGTAGCTCTATATAAGTGGCATTGCAGTTTTCTTTCAGTATATTTTAGGATTAAAATATTTATCACAACACATGACCTATATGATGTAAACACCTTGTCCTGTTGTCAAAACTTTAATTTCGTTGCAACCTTTCCAACAGAAATATGCCAGACTTGTCTGTAATCTAACTATGCTGTGTATAATGATGTCAGACAAACTTACAAATTTTCAATGTGATATCCCTGGAATTAATATTTGAGCCGCGCCATGACAAAACCAACATAATGGGTTTGCAACCAGCATGGATCCAGACCAGCCTGCACTTCCACACAGTCTGATCAGGATCCATGCTGTTCCCTATCAGTTTCTCTACTTGTAATAGAGTTAGTAAGCGAACAGCATGGATCCTGATCAGACTGCGCTGATGCGCAGGCTGGTCTGGATCCATGCTGGTCGCAAACCCACTATGTTGGTTTTGTCGTGACGCGGCTCATTTAATTGTTTCAAAATGGATGCTTGTCAAGCCAATCTTAAACATTTATCAGTATAAATGTTAAATGTTTGTTTTCAAAATAAAATGATAATTTTTTTTTATTGACTTACATGTGGATCTCCACTTAGATCAATACCAACTATAACACCATTGCTCTTCTCCCTAAAATCATGAAAAAATATATGTTAACTCTATATATCCTAAACTACTTAAAATAAAACTTATAATATGAATACTGCTATCATAAAATAAAGAATATAAGAACTCATAAAAAGAGCCCAACACAGCAAAATTGAAAATGTTACAGAATCGATTTGACTGAGCCTCACTAGTTCATGGACGGTACTGTCAAGTGCAAACTACCGTCCACGCCCCCTAGCACCGGCTTAAGCAGAATTCAACTTTTAACATGAACTGGTACAATTTTAAATTTTGAAACATCCGCAGATGATTTCAAACTGGAACTGTCAATTATTTCTGATTTCATAAATCATCTTTATAATGGAAACATAGGAACACATTTTTCTTCATATGAAGTCAAAGGTTTAACAAGCAGTATTGTTTATAGTCTTCCTCACACTTCACAGGAAAAAATATTGATGGAGAATTTGACTGCTGGTCTTTAACAAAGAGTGTAAAATTAAAAAAAAAAATGTAACTGTTTTGTTTATTGCATAGCTCATATTGCTGAATTTCTTTAGGCAATTTCATTTTCTTTTCAAACAAAACTATACCTATATTTCACTTCCAGTTGAACAGTATCCATGTCGACACCTGAAGACTCTGTCTTCTGTCAACAGCCAGGAGTAATTTAACAATAATGTCTAAATTTTCCTTTGCACAGCCATCTATTGCTAGTAAAACAGTCTCAACATATGATATTGTTGTCATTCCATCTTAACTCTATATACTTCACATTCTCCTCTGCAAACTCATATACATGTGTATTACCTGGAACATACATCATATTTTACCTGTAACATACATCATATGTTACCTGAAACATACACCATATATTACCTAAAACAAACATCATATGTTACCTGGAACATACACCATATATTACCTGAAACATACACCATATGTTACCTGAAACATACACCATATGTTACCTGAAACATACACCATATATTACCTGAAACATACACCATATGTTACTTAAAACATTCATCATATGTTACCTGTTACCTGAAACATTCACCATATGTTACCTGTTACCTGAAACATACACCATATATTACCTGAAACATACACCATATATTACCTGAAACATACACCATATATTACCTGAAACATACACCATATATTACCTGAAACATACACCATATATTACCTGAAACATACACCATATGTTACTTAAAACATTCATCATATGTTACCTGTTACCTGAAACATTCACCATATGTTACCTGTTACCTGAAACATACACCATATATTACCTGAAACATACACCATATATTACCTGAAACATACACCATATATTACCTGAAACATACACCATATATTACCTGAAACATACACCATATATTACCTGAAACATACACCATATATTACCTGAAACATACACCATATGTTACCTGAAACATACACCATATGTTACCTGAAACATACACCATATATTACCTGAAACATACACCATATGTTACTTAAAACATTCATCATATGTTACCTGTTACCTGAAACATTCATCATATGTTACCTGTTACCTGGAACATACACCATATATTACATGAAACATACATCATATGTTACCTGAAAATACATGATAATTTAAAACACTTACTCTCATTATTTATAACATCATGAATCTGTCTGAATAACTTGAACACCCTGAAAAATAACACAAACCTATCATATACAGGTATGCATCATTTTGAATTTGAATTAAGTGAAATGATGACAATAACTAGAAATGTGTCCATAGGACACGGGTGCCCCCACCGCGCCACTGTTCTCTCAATCTTTTTACTAAGTCAAGGGAAATAACTCTACAAATACTGGATAAATCCACAAGCGAAACCCCAGGTGCAAATCTAAAATATGCTGAGCAACCTGCCCATAAGGTTTAATGACTATGTCAAATCCTTCTTGAGAAACTTGCGACACAAGTTGAAAATTGCAAAAATTTTCAAAGTGAAGGGCAATAACTCTAAAAATACCTAATAAATCCAGACCAAAATACCTGATGCACAACTGCACATGCTGATCAATATTCCTGTAAAGTTACATGACTCTAGGTCAAATACTTTTTGAGTTACGTGCGACACATGTTGAAAATTGCCAAATTTTACTAAGTCAAGGGCAATAACTCTGAAAATACTAAAAATATCCAGACGAAAATACCCAGGTGCACAACTACACATACTGATCAACATTCCTGTAAAGTTTCATGACTCTAGGTCAAATACTTTTTGAGTTATTAGCGACACAAGTTGAAAATTGCAAAATTTTACTTAGTCAAGGGCAATAACTCTGAAAATACTAAAAATATCCAGACGAAAATACCCAGGTGCACAACTACACATGCTGATCAACATTCCTGTAAAGTTTCATGACTGTAGGTCAAATACTTTTTGAGTTACATGCGACACAAGTTGAAAATTGCAAAATTTTTCTAAGTCAAGGGCAATAACTCTGAAAATGCTAAAAATATCCAGACGAAAATACCCAGGTGCACAACTACACATGCTGATCAACATTCCTGTAAAGTTTCATGACTGTAGGTCAAATACTTTTTGAGTTACATGCGACACAAGTTGAAAATTGCCAAATTTTACAAAGTCAAGGGCAATAACTCTGAAAATACTAAAAATATCCAGACGAAAATACCCAGGTGCACAACTACACATGCTGATCAACATTTCTGTAAAGTTTCATGACTCTAGGTTCAATACTTTTTGAGTTACGTGCGACACAAAAGTGAACGGACGGACGGACGGAAGGACGGACGGACAGACGGACGGACGGACAGACGGACGGACGGACAAGGGTAAATCTAAATGCCCGCCACTAACGTGGGGGCACAAAAACGTTAATAACAAAATCTGCCAATATCCTAGTGCAAACACGCTTCACATTCTAAGACTTTTATCTGACAAAGTATAGATGATAATTTTCATTTCATTTTTTAATAATTTGTTTAATTTATTTACTAACATTATGAGTTTAAACTTACTCTTTCAATGTTCCAGTTTCACATTTTTTGAACTTGAGGGAGTCTGGATTATATGATGTAGACATGCCTGCCACAAGCTGACCCATTGTTGATTCCCTAATTGAACCATTTATATGGGCTCCTGTAAAATATTGTAGGAATAAACATGGAAAAATATACTAGAAAATTCACTATCGTTTTTTTTTTTTCAGTTGGGTTTTACGTTGCACCAATACCATGTAGTTCATATGACAACTTTCCAGCTTTACTGGTGGAGGAAGACCTCATGTTCCCTTCCAATCATTATTTCAGGCACAAACTGGCACCTGAGTAAAAACCACGACCTTCTGTAAGCTAGCTGTATAGCTTCTTCACCTGAAAGAATCCAAGTCCTTGTCAAGATTCTTACCCACAATAGTGAAGGGCAGCCAAGCAGTTTGAAGTCAATGACCTTAACCACTCAGCCATAGACACACCAATTATTCTATTATAATTGCTTAAAGGGACCTTCAACAACAATAGCAACTGAATAACAGACATGCCAGATAAAACAATGCTTGTAAACTAACTCTCATCGGCTTCACTCCCATACAAACATGTACACATATATATGTATATTTATAATACTGCACGTTTGTAACGTTGCTTTTCATTGGCTAATCGTGATGTTCATATAGTTTAATATACACGGCTGCTGTGATGATATAAAGGAAACTCACTTTATCAGCTAAAACTGATGCTTGCTGTATTATAAATTCGTTATAAATATTTCTGACAGATTATATGGCCGTATATAAACGGTTGTTTGCAATATAACCCTCACCTAGCTGCTCGAGTTATATTACAAACAACCGTTTATATAGGCCCATATAACCTGTCAAAAATCTTTATAACTAATAATCAAGCATTCTGACCAAGTTAATATGTATATGTAAATGTTTTTTAATAAATATTTCATTAATTTATTTTTTAAAGTTAAATTCATCCCATGATAAACATATAAATATATTTTACAAGTTAGGTGTGACTGCCCAATCGAACTCAACCAATTACAATATGCATGAATATAGGTTAACACAGTGTAACGTTAATACTTAATTAAAACACTGGGATAATAATTCTGAATATGAAATATTCGACGAACAGATGTTCTAACAAACAATTATATTGATGCATTTATCATTCGGCCAATGTAAGCTAGGAAAACCTTTAGGCATATGATCAACGTAATAATAGTTCAACCTTGGTTGGCTCGAACTATCGATCCCTCGAACAAATTTACACAGGCCCTCCAAGTTCGATGGAACGAAGTTCGACTGTACATGTATTTACTGTATATCTAAAAAATATTCTGGAAAGCTTCTATTGCAGAGTGATTACTGTCACATGCTCTAAATCTGTTGACCTCACTGATGCAACTCTGAAATTTCTTTCACATGCTTTGCCTATGGTTCAAAAATGGCATTTATTTGCAGACAGATACATACTGATACACACATGTAAATATTGCTTAAACATCTGTATCTTTTGTATTAACAATACATTCGCTGTCTTACTTTTCCAAGTTAAGTCTGGCTATACAGAAGGTTGGTTTGGATCTATGCCAGTGGCTTAGGTCAGTGTTCTGTTTTTTAAATATTATACAGATTTTAGTCAAAATAAGTAGATCTATGTACTTACCACTCAAGCCATAGCATTGCCAGTCCAGGAAAAGTTCCAATAATTCAGTCAAGTGATCACTGACCAACTGGAAAAATTTGGTTCCTAGCATAGACAATAAGTCCACACAACTGACAGGGTTGCCTCTCAGCCTCTGTATTGTCTCTTGTATGGCTAGACTAGTATATCTTGGGGAACCAGTGATGAAATTGATGTAATGGATCCCTTATCTAGGTGCTGTAAAAAATGTAAATGTTAACAAAAAAAGGTGCTTTCTTGGCCCATTGTATAGCCAATATTAGGTAATATTTCAAGTTGAAAATTTAATGCAGTTACTCTTTTTTTCAAATATATGTTTGATAGAATAAATTTATCATATGATAACTTTTGTGGCAAAGGCGATTTTTGTTCTCTAATTTGAGAGCTATTTACTTAACACTGAAAATTTTATCTTATTAAGACAAAATATTTCTGAATTATATTCAAAACATTTTTCATTCACATTTTCATTAAGTTACTCTGTCTTACAAAACTGATAATATCTTAAATTGAAGGCAAATAATTGCATATATTTTGTTTACTGATTTTACATGATCTTTTTCAGCTTAAATGATAGTAGACCAATGTTTAAATTATCTAAAATTACCATTTCAATGAATTCTAAGACCACTTTCTCATATAAGGTATTCCACATGTCACATGATGTAGTCACATGACCACTGTCATCCTGATCAGTACCATCTGCAGACAAACAGGAAATAAAAAATCGTCATCAGCAAACTGTTCACAGTGACATCTACATGTACTTAGCCTTTAGACCTATTTCAAAGATAACATTTAAACCTTAAAGCTGTCTTCAGCTTTTCTAAAAGTAAACTATGTTATTTTTACATTACTTGTTTCATATAATTCCAAAATCAAAAGAATTTAGGTGTAAAATGAAAACTGCCAACAAAAGAATACATATAAAACAATAAGGAAACCACTTGATACATCTACATGTAATTCGCTCTCAATATTCAAATTAGTAAAGAAGATAATTTGTTTTCCTATCTTCTATTTTTAGAAATGAACATAACTTAAGCGTTATCAATAGCTTTTCTTAGCACTGGACTCAATTTCACAACCTTTTAGAACCATTTTATCTTCTGTTGTCAGTGAGTTAATTCTCAGCCTGTTTAATAAGTCTGCAAATGAAAGATCATCCTTTAGTCTCATTACTTCTGATAACTCATACATAACAAACAGTTCTTTCCATAAGTTCATGGACAAAGATGCAGCATCACAACTTAAAATCATCACCATTTACAGGTTTTAATTGGAATAAATCTCCTACTGCAATAATGCTTACACCTCCAAATGGTTTGCGAGTTCCTTTTAATTCTTGCAGTCTCCGATTTATGAAGCTCATCATAGTAATACTAACCATTGATAGTTCATCAATTATGACAACAGATACATTTCGATATTTGGATCTGAATGTATTTAAGCTGTCACATATTAATGTTTGGTTAGACTGTTAGACTTCTGCTTAAATGCCGACGAAATGGTTGAGCCGTTTATATTGAAAGCTGCTTTTCCAGTATATGCACACAAGATTACCATTATATCATCAGTATTTTCTCCTTTCAAATTAAGCATTCTGAGCAGGAACCAGTTTCCGGACAGAATTCGAGTTTTTTTAATTGTCTATTTTTTAATAATAAACATGCATTAATAAAACTAACATACCAAAAACCTGAGCTTTAACTACGTCCGATAACACAATTAATACTGCCTGGTGACGTAAGCAATGTACAAACTGAAGGGTTAAATTAGGTCATCAAAAGTGTAAATTGTTCACTCTTGCAGAACCAGTTTCCAGACATATTAAGCTGCTATTCATATCTGTTTTTAACTGATAATTATTCTAATATAACAAAAAATTTCTTCTCACATATTAGCTTTCTTATATAATTAAGCTGATTTACTGAAAAATGTTAATGATAATGATTGGAAAAATAACGATCACGTGATGGGTCTCGGAATGATTGAAAAGTGGAACGGATATTTTTGTGTGTACGGCAGCAACGAAGTGCGAAAGTGGAGTAAATCTAGCTAAACACCGTTTTCCGATACGTTACAGATTTAGCTCTGGGGAATTACACCAAATGAACTTTGAATGAAGTACATTGTGCATTAATTGCTACCCCAAATTATATCCCGAAATAAACAAAATATTGAGCATGCGCAGAACAAATTACTTGCCCCAAAGGGATATAAGGCAGGTAAGATATCCTCACAAAATTGTAATGATGTATCAACTAATGGAAGGAAGTCTATTTTCTTAAACAATCAAACCAAGCATCTTCATGACATATAATACCGATCGTCATGGATGAAGCCAAAATTAAGCCGTTATAATACTTGTCCGGAAACTGGAATCCGGAAACTGGTTCCTGCCCAGTACAGTGTTTGATACAATGCTTTTACCAACACAAGCACCACCAGAATGAAATGTATACAAAGGTGCCTCTTTTGTTTTTATCCAGTGAACAACGTGACTGTAAAACTCTTTCTGTTTTTAGTTCAAAGAATGCAGAAGAGCTCTGTAATCTTTATCGGGTAAACTATTTTCATTAAAACTGATTTGTTTAGATGAAATGGAACATTATGCCAATATCATATTCTCTTTGTTCACTAACTCTATCTAGATTGAAATAGATAAATGTTTCTGATTCGACAGGTTCCTCTTCAGCAGTTTCTGCTTCTTCCTGCTGAGTTCCAGGAGCAATTTCATCATTCGATTGTATTCTGCTTCAGCCAGATTTCTAGCTAATTCTAAGTCATCAACATGATGCTCATAAGAGGCACGTTTTAATAACTTTGACATGTCCTAAAAGCTTTAATATGTACATAACATAAAACTCAAATTAAAATAACATAGTTCATAAACTTACACTTTCTGAGCATAAAAGAAACTATATTTTGAGAAATACGCAAACGCCACCGCTTCACTGGTTACAAATGGTTACAAATGGTGTGAAAAAGTCTAAGGGCGACAATCATGCAAAGCAAAAATTAAAAGTCAGGTGTAATCTCCTACGCAGTCATCTCCCTTTACATGATTAGATCTCTGCCATCACAACATTTTCGTCTATGAATTTTTTCAATTTTGATATTTATTTTAAAAATAAACACGGTTTTGGTAATGTTTCAAAACCGTTAGGTGTCAGATGTGAACTAAACCGTAGCGTAACCGGTGCACGGAGTTTGCTTACACTCACGAGTTACCTCGCTTAAAATTTTTGTTACGTTTTTATTTCATTAATATAGATCTAATGCTCAAATGAAGATTTATCAATTTTGTAACTTCCCAAAAAGCATTACTTGTAAAGATATAACCTAATTTACATTTCAGGTTAAAATAAAGGGAGATAATAACATGGAGCTAAATATATATCTGTGGTAATTAGAAATTTGTTTTTAAATTGTATAAAGAGTTAATTACATAATTATAATGTGGACAAATATTTGCAGTGCATATTTGACATATTCTTCGATGTTAAAAATTGTTTTAGAAGCATAATATATATATATAATTTCACTTAAGTGTACGTAGGAACAACCTAACTTACAACATACAGGATCTTTGGGAACACGACAGTCACACTCAAGTGTCAAAGGTCAAATAATATAATAAAATATTAATTAGCAAGTATAACTTCTATATACATGGATATGGAATGCCGGTAGGGACATGCCAATTTGCTTATTTGCCAATTGCTGAATTGCTTATTTGCTAATTGCCGATTTGCTTATTTGCCAATGGCTGATAGGCTTAATGACAAATTTGCTTATTTGCCAATTGCTGAATTGCTAATTTGCTTATTTATTAACCGCTGGTTTACGTATTTGCTTATTTGCCTATTGCTAATTTGCTTTCTTGCAATAGAAAAAGTTTACACTGTGCCGGAAGTATATGGAACATCTGACTACAGACAACCAGTTGAGTCAGATCTGTTAACTTTTACCAACAGTATTCTTGTAAATTCAGTGTTTTTCCAAGAATACTGTTGGTCAATGAATTTAGTTGCAGTGATGCCTACGCAGATATATGTCTACAACTGATGGCTGACATGTCCTTGAGAACACAGACGCTTGGGGTCAGATCCCGTACCCCAACGTGATACGTGCCCCTGTAAACACTCTATTTAAAATATTTTGATATCTAAACACGAATTGGACATCGTTAAAACTGGTTTTCAAGCAATTTTTACATATACCGGTATGAAAAAATACCATATACCACCAAGTCTCAATAAAGTACTTAATGGTTTTATCGTTGTAACAAATGTCCAATTTGTATTTAAATAAATATTAAAATAGTTTTGATATAGTGTTTACAGACGCGTATCACGTTAGGGGCAGGATCTGACCCGCCAGCATCTGTGCTTGAGAATGCCTTATAATGTGTTGCAGCTATAGATCTGTTTGTGCAGCTTAAGTCAGAGATTGGTGGCATAATAAACACTTGATTAGTCATATATAAGTGAAAAATATTGGTTAAAGATTGAAAATAAAAGAACTTGAAAACAAAACTATTTATTATTTTATGGCATATAAAATGTCGTTATTCTCAGCAGATTTGTCACAGAGGGCCTCATTTTAGTGGTACGAACACATAGTATCACGAATGATACATTTGGTGCATGCTTAACACGGGTGTTTGTCTTTGCACTTAAGCAATAGGCTTCGTTTTTAGCTCTGTAAGATTTTGAGATCACTTATGTCAGTGTGTGCATCAACATTTTGCTTTGGTTCAATGGTTTTGAAATTTGGTCACACTTTTCCATTTTTTCATATTGTACATTTTACATGCTATCAGGTGACCATGACCATGATCATGACCTAGGGTATAATGGACAAAGCCTCTTTGAATATTGTGTATGCATGCTGCCTATTTAACGCTTATGTGAAGTAACAGTTAGATATACGCAATAGTAACAGAGATATGACAGAAAAACAAAGGTTTCTCAGTACAATACATTGGTGACCTTGACATTCAGTATATAACGGGCACAGCTTCTTCATGTACTTTGTATGCATGCTTGTAACGCAAAGTTTATGCAAAGTTGCAGTAAGATGCATGAATCAGCAAAAGTAACAGAGATATGACAGAAAAACAAGTTACTAAGAATAGCATCCCTATTCTCTGAATAGTGGAGCTAAAACGGAAACTCAAGATAATTAAAAAAAACAACTACTTTCTGAAACTGAATTTATTTTTTTCGAAATTGATTAAAATGTATCCATCTGTCTTTCTACCTATATTCTAGGTAATGATGGATTGATCATAATTGTCACAAGTTATAATTAACAAAACCTTATAAACATAATATTAACATGATATAGGTTCATGAGCTTGAAATAAAGTCTACAAAGACTTGTTATTTTATATCAAACAAGAACTTAGCGAGTCGGACGTGTCGCCTGACAATAGCATAAAAAATTATGTATACATGTATAAGCAAATAAGCAATTAGCAAATAAGCAAATTGGCAAATAAGCAAATTGGCAAATAAGCAAATTGGCAAATCAGCAATTAGCAAATAAGCAATTAAGTAGTTGGCAAATAAGCAAAGTGGCATGTCCCTACCGGCATTCCATACATGGATGAATTTTGATATAACTTAAGACAAATGTTCGACGAGGTGAGTTGAGGTGGCTACGCAAAATGAGGGTCAAGGTCACAAGAGGTCAAATAAAAATATAAACTAGAAATGTGTCCATAGGATGGGTGCCCTCACACTCCACTGTTTTGCCAATCTTATCACTCTAGGTCAAATATTTTTGGGCTACATGTGCTGAAAATCTAAAAATCTTTTACTCAATCAAGGGCAAGAACTTTACAAATACTGAATAAATCCACAAGTAAACCCCAAGTACATGGATGGCCAACATTCTTGTAAACTTTCAGACCTACAAGTCAAATATTATTTTAGCTATGCATGAACAAGTTGAAAATTGCAAATTTATACTAAGTCAATGCCTCTAACAAAACTGAAAAAAAAAATCCACATGAAAAATCCCAGGTGCCTAGCTTCACAGTGATGTTGATCATTATTCCTGTAAAGTTAGTTGATTCTAACTCAACCACTCAAGGAAAAAATAACCCAACAAAATGGAACGGTTTTATACTAAGTCAAGGGCAATAACTCTAGAAATACTGGATAAATCCACAAGCAAAACTCTACGTGCACAACTAGTACACATGTTGACCAGCATTCCAGTAAAGTTTCATGACACTAGGATAAATACTTTTTGAGCTACACATGACACAAATTAAAATTTGCAAATTTTCACTAAGGCAATAAATTTTACAAAATAGAATGAATACACAAACAAAACGCCAGGTGAAAGACATCACATGCTGAGCAACGTTAATGTAAGGTTTCATGAATCTAGGTCAAATACTTTTTAAGTTATTTGAAAATTGCAAATTTTTACTAAGTCAAGGAAAACAACTCTAAAAATACTAAATATATACATACGAAAATACCCAAACGCACAACTACACAGGCTGATCAACATTCCTGTAAAGTTTCATGACTCTAGGTCAAATACGTTTTGAGTTACATGCGACACAAGTTGAAAATTGCAAATATTTACTAAGTCAAGGACAATAACTGTTTCAAAACAGAATAAATCAACATGTGAAACCCCAGGTGCACAACTACACATACTAACATTCCTGTAAGGTTTCATGACTCTAGGTCAAATACATTTTTAGTTATGTGCGACACAATTTGAAAATTGCAAAATTTTACTAAATAAAGGGCAGTAACTCTAAAAATACTAAATAAATACAAACAAAAATACCCAGGTGCACAACTACACATGCTGATCAACAGTCCTGTAAAGTTTCATGACACTAGGTCAAATACTTTTTGAGTTACATGCGACACAAAAGAGAACGGACGGACGGACGTTTTAACGGGACAGTAATAATGTGGCTACTCTATTGTTCTCTCCATTTTCCCTTTAGCAACACAAAAGAAAATAGCCACATCAAAGCATTACGGAATGAATAACATCAAAGAGAAAGAGCAGTTATCTATTGTCCCTCTTTCCACATTATTACTGTCCCCTGAGAGCAGATGGATGGACAGACGGACGGACGGACAAGGGTAAATCTAAATGCCATTGTTTCTGCGCACTTTCATTTATGCTTTGAAGTATTATGCTTAGTGGCCAGAGGATTTTTTTCAAACCTGCTTGCGCTGAGCACCACCTAGTTGTCAGAATGGCTGTTTTGGATTTGTGTGTGCGTGCATGCGTCCAAACTTACCCATGCCATAACTTTCTCGTGCATGGATGAATTTTCAAATAACATGAATTGAGTTTTTAAGACACAAATGTTCATCATGAGGATTTGTTTCATTCGACAAAGTGGTCGGAGATCAAAGACACCTTAGATGACGCAGTGTCAAGATCTTGCCTTGGGATTAAAAAGAATGTATACATCTTTCCTCTTGATCTGAGGCTTGAATAAGACAAGCGGACCCGACATTCTGTCCACGGCATGTCTTGTCTGTACGAGTGCTTGTTTGTAACATTGTTCATGTATGCAAACAAAACATGTGCGCGTGCACAAACAACACACACGCGCGAGCGCACACATACACTCACATGGCTCATTAAACAATAGCAAAAAATAAAAATAAAAAAAATGCAGGGGTCAAAAGACATTTTATCAAAGACATACATTGTATAGATAGGATAAAGACAATTACATAAATAAATAAAAGAGAGAAAGTATTAAAATTCCGATTTTCACAAAAGCATGGCTATTAATTGTATTTATTACTTTAAATATGGCACACATTGCAAAGATTATAAACAGAGCAGTAACTGTTTCAGTTTGTTTTTTTTATTTTACCCTTGTTTCCTTATTGATGACTCAGATGTTTACAATTCAATGCCGATGCTGATAAAAAATTAAATTTACAGAATATTTCAAAAATAAAAAAAAAAATAAAAAAGAAAATAATAAGTCAATAAGTATTGTTATTATTAAAACAAACATCGGCTTGTTCAAGGGACTTAATATCAAGCCAAGTGTCGAATTATGGTGTAAAGAGTTATGTTTCCTATGTATACAAATCGAAAGAGGAAGTACAAATAGTAAAAAGGAATGTTAACGTTTTTGTTTTGACAACGACGCTTGCGCAATAATTTTGTTTAAAAGGAAAACAAACTATAAAATCATACTACAGGAATAGTTTCAAAGTAAGTTATTTTCATAAATTTTTCGAATAATTGAACTTTACAAAGATAAATGCTTACAATTTTACATTATTTATATGAATTCTCAGCTTTTATTTTATGTTTTACAATTTCAACCTTTCAACCTTTCATTTTAGGAATTTACGGTTTTCATCATTAATTCTAGATTTCAACTTCATAAAATACACGATTTAATTTCAAGAAACAAAATAAAAAATATGTGAATTTTGTCATTGATTCCCAAAAGAAAATATATATTACCTACTGAAGTAAAATATTATATTAGACGTTTAAAATCAATAATTGAAAGTTGATCGAAATGGCATAATCAAAATGTGAATTCGTTAAGTGAATGTGAAGCTAAATTCATTGAATTGAATTTGTAAATTTGTAACGTTGAAATTGTGAACAAATGAAGTTACTGAATTCGCGAAAATGAAAAAAAAATGAATTTGGTAATTCATGACATTGACATTGCAAAGCCATTTTAACTTGTTAATTCTCGGTCCGCTACCCGCGGGGCAAAGTTTTATTTATTAAAGCCCTCACTTGTAAGCGACTTTTTGCTCCGCGACCCCGTCATTTTAACTTGTTAATTCTCGACTTTTCGCTTGGCGGGGTCGCAGGGCAAAAACTCGAATGGCACAAATCAGCCACAATATAAAATAGTTACTTTTCTATGTATTTAAATAGAATCAGGAAGTAGTAAATAATTACGTAACGTTACTCGCTAGTGCATTAGTTTATTCTTGCTTTATCTTTTAAGGTAGTACACCCCTAATGCACAGTCTCCACTTTGAAGAGTATTCAAATAGGCTAAAATCACTGTAAAGTGTATTGAAACTGAGGGGGCGTGGGTTCAAACCCCAGAAGGGGCAATTTTTTTTCTTTCTTTTTTTTCTTTTTAACATTTTTTATTAATCTCTCAGACCCCCTATGGAAGACAAAAGTGTTTAATTTTAATTATATAATTATTGTAGGTATTTATTTACTAAATAATGCCAAATTTAATAGCAAATATGATACCAGATAGTTTCAAAGTTTAATAAAATAAAAACTAAACGGTAAAAGTATTTTATATTTTGCAAGACCAACCAATATACATTAAAGAAAATTTAGGCAAACTTTGAAAATAGCCCCTCATTTTGAAAAAAATTAGGGATATTTTAAATAAGGCTTTTTACATAGGGAAATGGTCAAATTAGTGTTAAAAGTGGGTGGGGTAGGGTTACATTTTTATACATATTAAAAACATTTCGTTTAAAAACAATCATTTTGCTTGTTTAATTTGTTACCTAAATGTCATTATTTATTTCTTAACAATGAGCAAAAGGAAAACATTTTTCATAATGATGATATTATAGATTATTTAGAGTTTCCTCATTTCTGAAAAAATCCCTTCTAATGGCCAAGTTTTAGTTCATAAAAATGTCCATAACTCATAAACCACACGGTAAATTTTGTTTAAATTTTGCATACAGGTGACATTTAAGGCATATAACTGTTCTATGTTGTCAAATCTACAATTCCTTATAGTGCCCATTAGGGGTGTACTACCTTAAATGTTTATGCTAACATGCAACGTCATCAAATGTTACATCTCTCTTTCGAATATTAAATGGTGTTTCATTTATTTTTTTCTCGTGTGTACATCCTGTGTGTACGAAGGGGACTTCACATAAACCTTAGGTCAGCAGGGTTCTCTAGGTCAAGTCGATTACCGAAAACACATAATATTTTTCAAGGCCTAACTATGTTATATTTAGGAAATAGATATCAATTCTGAGTACATTGTTGTAGAATAATGCACGGTTTGAGTTCAAATGCGTAGTAATATATAATCACGAAGGCCGATATGCCTGAGTGATTTTCGCTTTGAACAAAAACTGCATTATTTTATTGCACGAAAATTAAATTCTATTTCCATTTAACACGTAAGAAAAAATAAAATTATAATTTACAGTTGGACTTTATTTTGGTGGCTAAATTTTTTTTTCGCCCCAGAGTTTCAAAAAGAAAATTCTTTAAAAGGGGTTCCCCTGGGTTGAAAAAAAAATGTCGTTAAAACTACCCGGGGTGTAAAAAAGTTTTGAGAATAAAGAATATTTAAAACGTTGAAAAAAAACTTTGTTTTTAAAATTTCCTCCCTAATTTTTTTAAGCATAAATACAAATTATTATTTGTGTCCCAAATTTATTTGTCATCCAATGAAACCTGTATTTTTTTAAAAATTCTGTGCCCCTTTAAATTTTTAAAAGAAGTACAAAAGGTCGATTACTATATGGAATTCCGTCCATAGTCGAATTCTATTTTTCATAGTACTTCATAAAACCGCATAGTGACGTAATAAAGTGAATGATAATGAGGCCAAATAGAGCTTGACACTAAATGTGTTAGTATTCATCCGTGCTGTTCTACAGAAATTAGAAACATTCTCCTGTCGCTATCGCTCCCGTCGAAGTTTCTAATTTCTGTAGAACAGCACGGATGAACACTAACATATACAAAGTGAAATAAATGTAAAACTTAACTCGTTTGCGATATTAAAATAGCGTACTTGATTTGATTGTTTTGCACGTGCTGTTTGGCGCTACATTGTGACGTCACGTAAACAACAGTTTAAACGTCTGTACAGCGTTAACAACTGAATTAAAGATATTGGTGTTCGGATTCATTTTCTTAGTTAGACCATTTTCTCTCATTCTAGATAGTTTGCACCACAAAATTCGACAAAAAATTATTTTTTATTTATCAGATTTTTCAAACAAAATGGCGCCCTCAATGTGAAAATACACAGGGAGATAATAAGAACGGCGAATGCATTGTTGTAGAATAATGCACGCTTCGGGCCTTCTTTGTTTATATAGAAAATTTTCCGATAGTGTTAGAATTTATATTTTATGAAGCGAGAGATTATTTCCAAATATGGTATTTATATTTGAATTTGACTCCCCTAATTACCTGTTGATGAACGTAAATTGCACCCATTAAAGATTTTAGCTGGGAACGATTAAAGAATAATGTTAAATTAAACTAAAATTAGTTAGTTTTTCATTAGTAAGGATTTTACAACATTGAATTAGGTCGAATTGGAAAAAGAACACATAAATTTATGGGAAAAAAACAACCTAAAAAAAAAAAAAAAAAAAGGAAAAAAAAAACAAAAAAAAAACAACATTTTTTTTCTGATAAGACTTGATCTTTAATTAACCTTGACCGTTAAGATCAAATTAATGAAATTTGCTTAAATTGTCCTAATTTACAAATTTGATTCATACTTTGGTCAAAAGAACACATATGACAAAACCAACATGTTAAAAATTCTGACCTTGTTCTTTATTTGACCGTTACCGTCAAGGTCAAATTATTGAAATGTGCTTAAATTGTCATTTATTTACAATTTGATTTGATCCATACTTATACAAAAGAATGCATGATAAAGCCGACATATTTAATCTTGCTTTCATTGTCATTGCTTTGTTATTTTTTTTATAGATTTGATTCATTCTTGGACAAGAGAGCACTTATTGCAAAACAGATATGATAATGAAACCATATGTGACCTTGACATTTGAGTGACATTCACCGTCAAGGTCAAATTTGAAATTGAAATTGATTTTGTTACAAATAATACTGTTTTGTTGTAGTGCTCTTTACTACACTTTTCTTCATGCTATTTTCTCCCTCTAAAGTGTTATTAAAAGTCGAACGTAGTCCTCGCTAGGTGTTGGCTTTTGTCATTTTCTAAAAGTAACAAGGCGTTTATCGCACTATGGCAAAATAATAATGCCTTTTATAAGCACGCTTCATAGTTATGAAACAACATCATTTTCAAATATAAGTATACCCGAGGAAGAAGTATTTTATTTTAATACGAAAATCATTGTTTTGATTAATTTATGAAAACATTGTATAAAATTCTGAACGTGCGATTTTATTCTTGACCAGTGTGATGTTGTTACAGAAGTCTTTCTTGTTTAATATCTTAATAAACCAAAATACAATCCTAGTGTTTTTTTTTATAAAAGAACATAGATTTATGTATTTTCAATTTTAATATTTCAACAACAACCAATCTAGTTATATCTGTAATTCACACAACAATGTCTAATGGAATGTTATTTCTCTATTTTTTTATTAACCTTGCAGAATGTTTCAATCGCCTGAATATAGTAATATATTATCACTGAAGTTATCTGACTTATTAGAGGATGTTGGTGTCAATGAAGAAATGGTGATGAAAAGAAGAAGAGTTGTCATGCTGGTAGAGAATATTCAAACTTTGACATGGAGGTCATTAGGTAATAACAGCACTGCATATTATTTTGGGAGTCAATCTGAAGGCACAACTACTGAAGGACTTAATTCAGATTTTGACGTACTGTATGTGGAGTATGCTTATAATGTAATACAGGACTGGTCAGAGTGGAAACAGAATAAGATCAATTATCTCATGATACAGGATGAGAATGTAACACCTGGATATTGTTTCCTACAACTTCTTCGATCTGACGAGCCACTCTTTGAGACAATCATTCCTGATGAATATTATATCAGAGATAGTAAAGGGAGGATATTATTGAAAAACACATTTCTGACTGATTATGATGATGCTGTGAGACACGGTCCGTCTAATGCTGTCCCCGGGAAAGAAGGATACAATGACGTTGATGTAGTTTATGGTTATCCTTGTAATTCATTGCCACAATCAGCTTTACATTCACTAGACAGACAAAGCATAGGGAGATTGCCAACATCTGAAATGATCAGATATGCTGTTAGTAATGGTTGTTTTGTTGTTGGTGCTAGCAGTAAGATTAGTACTTATCCAGAACTAGAATGGAGAATATCGACATCATTAGGAGAAAGATGCTTTATGTTTAATCTAAACACAACACAATTACATTGTTATGTTTTGATGAAAGTTATTTTGAAATCTTTTCTGACACCTCAAAGAGAAAGTGTATTGTCTAGTTATATGTGTAAAACTGTAGTGTTAAACTGTATACAAAACACCGACCGAAACTTTTGGAAAAAGAACAATCTTTTCACCTGTTTAACATATTGCTTACTTGAACTACAAAGCTATATTCGAAATGAAAATTGTCCGCATTTTATCATTCCGGAAAACAACCTTATGGCCGGGCATTTCACTACAGAAGGGAAGCTTGTCATTTCACGAAAGATAAGTGACATAATACAGAGTGATGGTAGATGTTTGCTTAGAATAAGAATTGATGATATTGGTAATCGACTACATTTCAAATTTCATACAGATCGTGCAATACCTCATGGAATGCTTACTCATCGTCTCATTAATGAAAGTATTACGGTTTTTTTATTTGGGAACTTAGCACAAACTATTAGCACAAGTGAATTAAGGATTCTAGATTACTTGCGAAAAATGCAAGTCAATCTCAAACAATGTATCCTAAAGCTAGCAAACTATAGTGTACATGGATCCAGACTAGAACAGTTTGCAAGTCGTTGTTTGGTACCATTTCTTTTTTCTACCATTGGATCTATAATGGTGTCATCAAATATTCGACGGAATACTGCAGTTCAATTTCAAGCACCAAAGTGGCTTTCACTGGGTTTAAGCTCGGATGTCACATCCGGCAGACTTAAACTAGCTTCAGTTTTGTATTGTATAGGTGATATGGATAGAGCGGAGTTCATCCTGAGACAAACAGAAAATCGATACAACTGTGATATTGTTGAACCTGTATGTGGTTGCTGGCGTCATCCATGGTCTGATTGGTCGGCAGAATTTATGAGAAAATTTTGCGAACAAAACGAAGATTGCATCAATCGTATCACATCATTTTGTGTCAGATTCATGCAAACGGAGATCAACTGTGTTCCTCGAGAGTTACAATATGAAATGATGAGATCTACACAGAATGACATGCAACACAGAAGTGATATGGAAAAAAGATGGATGGACTTTGCAGTGATTGATTCTCTCCCTTTTCTCTACTTTTTACAATACAAGACATACGGACATCTACAAAGACATCAAGATCAACAACGAGCACTTTGTAACCTTGTAAATACTGCCGTGTGTGGTAAAAACCTAGGTCACAGAGAGACAGCTCTAAACCTTGTAGGTCAATGTAAGGAACAGGAGAACAAACTAATGGAAGCGTTACAGTGTTATATGCTTTCTCTTCAACTACGAGGAAGGAACAACGCCGCGAATTTTCACATTTGCAATTTAATAAGGAAAATATGCTTCTCGCATGTTGTGGTTTAATTAGTTCTCTACGTATTGTGTGAAATGTTCGTATTTTAACGGTAAAAATATGTTGAATTCTACATTTATCTTAGATATGATTGTCCAATTTATATTTAACTGTCTAATATGAAAGGTTTTGACTGTCTAGCTTTCGACGAAGTAGCTATATAAATGTTAAAAGTGTTAACAAGTTATGCACATTAAATGTCAGTATTATGATACTGAGTAAAAACATAACTTGTATTAAATTGATGCATACATCATCAGTATAATAAGCCTGCTGTTACAAATATGGACCTTAAATAAAATTTCTTCTAAATTCTATTTTTATTTAATTTTTCATACGTTTTCTAAGTTACTATACCAACAATCATTTGTACCAATATTCAAGTCAGCCAGTACTTTCGAAAACTCGTGTCACTTTTGGAAATAAAACATTAATATTCGTATAGTGCTGCTGAATTATATCAGAGAAATTAAAATATACACCAGGTGTAACATTAAATTTTGCCCCCGTTGCAAATTGACCCCATGGGTCATTTTTTCAATGTTGAGAACTAAACCTTGGTCATTTCACAACTTTGAGAATACACCCTGCCAACAATTCAACATTAAATTTTGAAGCAAAAGTCGTTGAGAAATGACCAATCATTATCAAATTTGGATCATTTAAACGGTTAGTTAAAGTTAAGTTTAACGTCAGTTGGTAGAAGAGAAACGCTTAAAAAATAAGAAATTCTCACAGGAGTTATAAAAATAATTTCACATGCATAACATGGGCGGAGGCAAGAAAGGAAGGCAAGATAATCTGTATGTTGGAGAGGGAACTTTACGAAAGTTAAAGACAATGATTTTTAACAGATGGTTCTTTGTGGTCGGTATCCGATATGCCCCTCGATACTTCCACAGCAGTAGCGTCTTTTGCAACAAAGTTGTTTTTTGTCCAATAATTGGCGTCCGCGCCGAAGCGCGGCGCCTTTTATGGAATGAAATCAGATTTTGTGAAAGGGCGGACAGCAACTTCTCGAGCCCATTTATAGTTGTTTCATTAATAAAGCCGATCATTTCCGATCGGTATGAGGGTGCTTGATTATTAATTAGTCGCCTGATATGAATACAATGAATAGCGAACTGGAGAATTTCGCAATGCAAACCATTTTCAAATTTATTAACCTTTTTCCGTCAATAAATTTTCGCGCTCGTTCGGGTATTTTTATTTATCATTTTGTAGTACACAGTGGGTTATTATGGTATGTTATTTTCCGAAAGCTGTAAATAGAATGTTGATGTTGATGACCCTAATTATTCCGAAAATTCTATTTATAGGGATGTTTTCCTGTTCGGTAATTTCCCCGTCCTTTCTCCTGGTCTATTTTGACGACCGGCGATAAGTACCCACCGGTTTATTGTCCGGGTCCTCTTCCCGGTTTGGGGAGTAGATGTTTGATTATTTCGTTTACAGAAACAGAACAAATATTTTAAGATAAAAATAAGCTTTTTTTCAAATGAAAAATGTTTTGTCTACAAAATAATTAATAAAATAGATCAACTCTCAAATTATTGATTATTTATTATGCATAAACATACAATTCGAAAAAAAAACAACAACCAAAATTCGCAAATTTTTACTTTATTCTTATAATGAGATAAAAACAATAAATATTTGTACAATAATTGAGACAAAATGTAACATTTTTATTTGGCCATTAATATGACACTATCAACTTTGAAAACATTTTATTTAATTTGTTTATTCGTGTTTAGTAAAGATCCCGGGATTTTAAAAGTACAAATAAATTTTATAAATTATTAAATTGTTTGATTTTAAAAAAAATGATAAAAAAAATAAATGACATGTAATTTTTAAGAAAAAACATTTAATATTGAAATTTTAACCAAAATTTTACGGTTTTTCCAGTTAAGTTTTTGACTTAAATGTCGGTCATTTGAAAAATTTTAAATTTTTAAAAATAAATTAAAACTAAAAACTCAGTTTTAAAGTATTTGAAAAAACCAAAAAAGAAAGAAAAAAATTCTAAATTTTGTTTTTTTTTTTAAAAAAAGATATTTTACAATTAGGGTATAAAAAATTTTGTCAAATGGAAAATAAAAAAGTGTTATTGTTCAAAGTGTGAACAATAGCAAAGAGGGGGCTTCGCTAATAGCGATAAAAAAAAAAGGGACTTCAAAAGTGGGGTTTTGTTGATCATGGTTACTCTATGGATTTAAATGTTTTACAGATTTCCGTTGTTTAAAACACGTCATAAAAAAAAAAGAATTTCAAATTTTCTGCATCCCAAAAAAGTTATAATAATGAAAAATTTTTTTTTTGTTCTTTTCACTCATTGATATACATTATGGTAAAAAAAAATAAACCTTTGAACGTTTATAAGTTATTTGTCTAATTATTATAGTTATCTGCACCTGTTTCTTGTTTGGGGACCCCTTTGATGCTTTCCCATAAAATCTTTTTTGTAAATACGGTCTTTTTACGAAAAAAAAAAAATCAAAGTTACTGTTAAAAGCCTGAAATCTATGATAGCCAGTTTTTGAAAATATTTTTAAATTTTTGAAAAAAACAGTTATGTTTCCTTTGATTTTTTAAAAAATAATCGATCTTACCCAATAAAAATATCTTCCGGCGCTTAAAAAAAGACATTTTTTAATTAAGTTGCTCGTAAAAAAGGTTGTCCCTTTTAAAATTTTTGACCGTTTTAAATTTTGTACTCAATTTCTTTTTAAACCCAAAAATACTTTTAAAAAGTCAATAATGAAAATGCCCAAACGTTTTTATTAATGTATCTAAACCTCTGTTTTACCCCAAACCCCTTTTATCTGTACTGGGGGAAGTAATCATTGATGTACTTAAAATTCTCGGAGGGGTTTACTTTCCTTGATCCGTAACCCAAAAAAAAATGCATTTTAAAAACGAACGCAAATCATTAAATAATTTATGAAAGATTAGTTACCCCGGGGTGTTGTAAATTTTAATTTAAAATATTTTTTTTTAAGTAGAAATTTGGGTTTAATTAGAGTGAACTTTTTTAAAACATTTAACAGGCGCTGAAATTGTTGGGAAAAAAATAAAATATTTTTGCATGA